TCAAATGTCATTTCTCTAGCTAGCTTTATAATGTAAACATAGTGGCCGAAAATTTAAGATTCTCAATATATATTACCGAACATCAATGATTACTCATCTTTCTAATATTTATCAAATGTCATTTCTCTAGCTAGCTTTATAATGTAAACATAGTGGCCGAAAATTTAAGATTCTCAATATATATTACCGAACATCAATGAAGTGGACGCACAACCCAACCAAAATCTCAAAAGTGGTTGAAAAATTTTTGATTGACGCAAAGTAGTGGTTGAAAAATTTAGAGTTCGGTAATATATATTGGACGCACAACCACCATTATTGGAAAAGGAATTACCATTATTGAGATTCTTCCTTCAAAAATATATATTGAGAATCTCAAAAGTGGTTGAAAACATACTCTCCTTCTAAATAGAAACTCTTAGTAGTATAATATAAATATTATTTTATTTTTTAAAAATCTATATGTTAGTTTTTAAAAATTATTTTAATGTTGAATATTTTATGTGTGTACATTGCACGCGTATCCAAAGAGTAGTGTTATAAAGAAAGATCAGATGAATATTTCTTTACAATATGTATAATAAAAAAGAAAGGAAAAATAAAGTTTAATAATATGTATAAATTATTATTATATTATTTAGGCCATAAAACTAATTAAAGCAGTGAAAGTGGAATGTGACGAAGCAGGCTGCTGGGCGCTGGCTCACATAAAAAGAAAAGAAGAAAAAAAAGAGAAAAAAAGAAAAGGAAAATAAAGAAATGCGAAAAGGAATAGGCATGCATGCATGCATATCCACGTGCAAAGCAATAAACAAAGTTTAGGAATCTTTTATTACTTTTGACGCAACTTACTTTAGTCTTTTTCAGTTTTGCCCAGGCCATTCAGTCCTGCATCGTTGCTAATTCTTGATAACTTTTTAATAAGAGATGTTCCATTAAATCTATCTTTAAAAAATTATTGTATTTTTTTTTGAGTTCAAATTGCGATTTGTTCTGAGTATATACTCAATCTATAAAAGACATATTTAAGACTGTGTCATGCTCAAAACTACTAGCCTCTCTTAATATATAAAAGTATATGACTACTCATGCCAACCAAGTTGGTTTAATGTATTCGATGTTTACTCCATTTTGTTTTAGCAAATTATATTGTAGATTAAAGTGCGCCCTGTATAGTGAATCTAAATACATAAAAATAATATTTTATATATAAAATTAGAACAACTTTCAATTTTAGTCATTTATTATTGTAACAGTGTCCCATTTAATCTTGCTCTTTTAATTTTGTCACATTATGTATTTGACTTTAATTTGTTTGTCAAAATTAGTCATTCTTTTTAAATTTTATTATTCTACCACTTAATAATTATGACAGTTAACATGTAATTTCATTATTTAATTAAACGAGTTTACAAGAAAGTGAGAAAAATTACATGCCCGATAAAAATGGATAGGTTTTATAATTTGAACATTTTGGGTGAAATTAATATACAAGTGTGTTTTAGTCGAACTTTATTAGAAACACATTTCATAAATTGATCCAATTCAAAGTAGTAATTTCAAAAATTATTTAAAAGAAATAGGGTTAAATGTATTTGGGAAATTGGAGCACGCACGCACTGCACTGCACGAACTATTTGAGTAACTTTATTAGTAGATGCTGAGGGGGGATTTTGGAACCATGACAAAAGACACATCGCTTATGCTCTTTAATTTTATCAAAGTCTTTATCACTTTAACCTATAACTTAATTTGAATATTGGTAGGAATTACTAAATAGAAATTTTAATGAAATTTCTTGCTTTTTCGATAATCCCCAACCCCAAAGGTTCATAATGGGAAATCTAGTCTATCCAGCACCCTAACCCAACTCTAGGAGCCCCATTTCGAGATTGTTCGCTTATTAGTGGTAAGTTTGAACTCTCACCCTACAACTAGAAGTGAGCTTTAAATGCAGCTTCTCAACTGTTTAAACCACTGCCCTGAGACTATTTCTTTCTTATTTACATATATGTCTAACATGCATTAAAACATAATTTACATTTTTTTTCTTGAATAGGTAAATATTATCAATCCAACATGTTATATAATTGGAGAGATGTTAGTAAACTCTCCGCAAATTATTTTGTGGACCTAGGACCACCTCGCAAGGTAGACTCGTGTCCAAATATTCACAATTTACATACTAAATATTTTTAATTACCTTTTAAAAATTCACAATTTGTATACTACGAATACACAATGTTAATATATATGTAATTGATTACCTTGTTTTGTATTCAGTATTCACAAGTTCCTTTCAAATACTGCAGTCAAACAATATTAACAGGTTAGGATTTGATAACCTTGTATTGTATTTACAAATTCCCTTCTACATATGTTATGTGTTTTGACTTAGAAACACAATTTATATTCTAAAAGTTCACAATTTCAATACTAAAAATACATAATTTATACGTTGTTTAGGACCAAGGTCCACCTTGCAAGGTAGACTCTGGTCCATAGTACAACAACTCTAAACTCTGTCTCTTTTATTTCCAACCAGCTGGTTAGTAAACTATTATGCCATTGAAATGCATTTTGTTTACAAAATAGTATTAAAAATATTTTTTTATCAATGAAAAAAGAAGGCAGAAAAAAGAGGGGGAAAATGCAGAAAAAAGAGGGAAAATCCATTAATTATTTGGCAAATAATTTTTTTTTTAGGTTAGTTATTCATTATGATTTATGTGGCAAGATTAAATAAAAATGTGTTAAATTAACCAAAAGTAAATAAATTGTTAACAATTTAACCAATCGAATGAAATTAACCTAATTTTCTTTTAGGTTTATAAAATTGATGTAAGTGTAAAATGTTACACGTTAAAACCCTTAAGTTAGTTGGGTTAATTAGTTATCAAAATTAGGAAGTGGTTAGACTCTGGTCAGCGTCTGGATGCATGTCAGGAAAGGCAGAACTCATTCAACCGAGTTTGTTTTCGACCCTATTTCTATGGTATTCAAAATCTTATGGTGCAACTTCTTTTGAGGACTTATTTGCTGCACATTTTCAGACAAGGAGGTTCATATTCATTCCTATAAATAGCTATCTCGGTTTTCTTAACAAATTGTCGATTTAAGGAATCATATTTGGTGAATTCTCTTGAAGTCCTCCTCTAGGTATATCTATCATATTATAGCTAGTTGAAGACACTGTGGCTGTGTTGAAGATGGCTTGCATGTCCTGATGTCCTGTCCAAAGAGATGATGAAGAGTACGCTGGAGTAGTAGTGTGTACCGTAGTTTGTATTGAACTCTCTCCTTGTTGACCATCTAGTGGATTGGGCTGACGTGAGTGGCCCCGCAGACGTAGGAGTGTAGCTCCGAACTGCATGAACAATTACTGGTGTCTGGTTCCTTTTACATTTCTCGTTCTTGTTCTTTATTTTTCTAGCATAGATCCTGTCTTTAGTCCAAACTAATAATTGAAATTAAAAATTAAGTAGGAACTGTTAGGACTTAGCTTGCATTCAAGATCCACGATCTTTTTCAATTGATTATTATGTAAATATGTAAGATGAAAGGGTCAAATAGGCCCTCGAACTTTAGCTGAAAGGTTAATTAGCCTCCTAAACTTTTTAAATATGTAATTACACCCATCAACACTTTATATTAGTGAAAAGAAGCCCAAAAACAAGTTAATGACCTACTATCACATGTCATTAGGGTTCCGGCCACTCTCCGACAAAATTTTCGACAAAAAAAAAAAATGAACGGCGACAATTGCCGAAATTCTGGCAAAAAAAAAAAAGACCGGCAACCAATGGTCGCCTTCTCTGGTTGAGAAGGCGACCACATTTGGGTTGCCTTCTCAAGCGAGAAGGAAACCCAGATCTAGGTCGCCTTCTCCACGGAGAAGGCGACCTGGTGTCTTCTCCGTGACCGGTGACCGTTTGTCGGTCGCCGATCACTTTTTTTGACAAAAATTTTGCAATTGTCGCCGGTCATTATTATTATTATTATTTTTTGTCGAAAATTTCATCGTAGAGTGACCGGAATTTTAATGACCTGTGATAGCAGGTCATTAATATGTTGTTGGGCTTCTTTGCACCAAAATAAAGTGTTGATAGGTGTAATTGTACCTTTAAAATATTTAGGGGATTAATTGACTTTTTAGCTAAAGTTCGAAGGCCTATTTGACCATTTTTTCTCTAAAAATAAATAGTTCAAATTAATAATTTAGCTTTATTTATTTTCCTGTTGCAATATTAAACTTAACAGTATTATAACAAACAAGAGAGCATTTTTGTTCAACAAAAATGTAATATACAATGCTTTAAAAATTATGTATAACTCGTTTAACACAATAAAAATGGACAAGAATCAAGGACACATCCTGCATTAACTATTGTTGGGATCAGAGTCGATTTTTAGATTTTTGTGTCCCATTCTTGTAAATAAATGAGGCCCTACGAAAAGCGCAATCTTTAAAACTAATACCATAATTTTTATTATAATAATAATAATAATAATAATAATAATAATAATAATAATAATAATAAAATCAAGAAAAAAGAAACTAAAAAAATGTAGGCAGCCCCTTGGCATGGGCGATTATAAAGGCAATCCTTATACCATGATTTAGGTTTCCAGTGCACTCTGAACTCTAGTACATGTATTTATGTTTTATGTTGCGAGTTTTTGAATATTGTATTACGAAATTATATATTTTTAAGAGTATGAATTTTGTACTTGAAATAAATTAGTAATTGTGTCTTTATGTTATGAATTTTTAAGTAAAAATTGTGTACCTAAAATCAAATTTGAAAAATAAGTAAATATAAACCATGTCTTGTAGTGTGATTTTTGTATCTTGTGAAATTTTATATCTTATGAATATAACCTTTAAAAAAAAAAATATCTTATGAATATAAATTATGTAGTCTGTAGTCTGTACCTCATCGTTTGAATTCAGCAATATAAATTGGCATTATAAAGGCGTGTATACATGCAGCACAAACCGTTACTCTCCTGAGTCGCTGCGGGAGCTATAGAAGAAGAATCGGTAATGGAGTTACTGAAGAAAATTTGCCCCGACTCTTCCTACGTGAGCCCTCTCTCTCTCTCTCTCTCTCTCTCTCTCTCTCTCCTTTTTCCTCATAACCATCCTTTTTGCAATTCCTGGTAAATGTTTTACTCACCACTGATAGTAATTCGATCAAGAAATTTTACTGATATAATTCAGCTTAATGCCCAGATAGATTCATCTTAACGGTAAAGATTCGAGCTTTTAAGAAATTAAGGTAGTGAGTGTGTGCCCTGCCTGCATATTTCTTCAAAACGAAGAATTTACTGACTCATTTTCCCCTGCTGTTCCTCTATCAGTATGAGTATTTAACAAACTCTGTATAGCAATCTTTTAAAAAAATTTTGTGTGTCAGGTATGGAATGCAAGTGGAATTTCACCATGTTTGGACGATTTATATCCTTTGATGGCCTTTGTCATTGTTTGTTCATTTGACTTACTAATTAATGAAGGTGAAAAGGAATAAAAGGATGATGATGGTTCACTTGTTTTTCACTTAACACTTACTTACAGTGCTTGGATTTGGAGGGAACATAGTGACCGTTATTATGCTTGCTACTTTTGGAATTGTGAAAAGGACTTACAAAGATAATAGGATGGTAAGCTGAAGTTTAATTTTCTTGTTCAAGAGATGGGAAATAATCAATCTTTATCCATGAAAAATATTTTTCTTTTCTTCCTTGATCAGTATTTATTTCTCTGCTGCATTTACAAGAATATTATGTAAACTATCTTTAGAGGAATTGAAATTTTCAACACAAGTATGTGTATGAAATAAGAGTTCAGTTCAGTATTTTCCTTTAAGAGATGATAACAGACTGCTTGCTGGAACTGAGCAGGTGCCCCTTTTAGTGGAAGTTTTATTCCGTGCTATACCTGCTTTTGGAGTTGGCATAGCATTTGTTGACATCATTGTGCTTGCAACCAAAAATCTAAACAGCAGCTATGATATTCCATATCACGAATGGCTATATAGAAGTTCGCAATTGGCAGTATGGGTAAGTTATCGGTTTTTTCTTGTTTTTGTCGAAGCTGGTCATGGTTGCTCCTCATTTTTTCTTCAGAGCTGGATTTTTTTTTTTCTTCATGATTTAGGTCACTGTTCTCCTGGTCTCAAAATGTTGCCGCTGCTTTGTTGTATTCTGCAACCAATTCTTGTGCTTTTGGTGGATTATGAAACCGTTTCTATCTATAATGCAGTTGCAAAGAGATTTTTCTTCTAATGAGGTACCACTTATAATTATTATTATTATTATTATATCTATGACTAATAGTATATTTTCTGACTTGATTATGATTATAGCAGGCTGAATTAGTTTTCTGCTACTTTCATTCCCTTTAAAATTTCTACTAAAGTATGTAATCTTCACCATTCTATTATCATAATGCTAATAGGAAGGTATCTTTTATGCCTTTAGGTAATAAATAATAAGTGCACTACTGAGATCAAGGCGATGGGTTACTAATTTGACTGGAATGTGGTTAATATGTTTCCCATAGAACTCTCTCTCTCTCTCTCTCTCTCACTCTCTTTCTCTCTCTCTAGCTTTTCCCCTGATTCCCAGAAAATATACTTTTTTTGGAAAGAATTCCCAGAAAATATACTAGTATACTACATTACTACAATCTCAAGGATTTCTGAATGATATCTGAGAATAATCCTTGGTTCTGAACAATTAATTTTCATGCTGGAAGTTCTTGTGAATTATTCAATTTCTAGTAGATGTTTAAGGTATTTCTCAATCAAATAAAAAGAAATTATTTTTCCACGACAGGTAATCACATGTGTAAAGGAGATCTTTGTTGCTTTACTGGATGTCATATTTGCAATTTTGATAAATATCATCAGACTAAAGTCAGATGATACAGGAAGCAGGTAGTAACATGTGTTTGTACGTTTTAATGTTTAACTATTATTTGCACAAACCCTGTAAAAATTCTTTGTGTTCTGAGTGGCATTTGCAAGGTTTTCCCTTCTCTAATTAATTTAATTTTTTTAAAAACATTTAACAGATATACATTTCTGTTAAAAGATTGAACATGCAACTTACTTTTTCGTTTGGAATGAAAAAAAATTAGAAATATTTTCAGAAGCCACAGATACTGGATATTCAAGTCTTAGATCAAAATCTCTTGGTTGTAGATAACTAGATTTAAAAAAAATAACTAGATAAATAAAAAGCTAAAGAGGTTTAACATGGGAATTTCTTAATCTTCTCTAGAACCTAAACAAGAAAGGGAAATTTCAGGAGAAGTCTAAGTTGAATATATTTTACATATAGGATGAATTTATACAGTCTTCCAGTTACATCCAAGTTTTGCTTATCTGTGATGCCATGATCACCTTTTAACACTCATGATCCAATTGGTCTTGAAAATTGAAGGTGCTATGTCTAGAGTTATTCTTTTACTAGTAGTTAAACAATTTAATATTCATTAACATTAGCATTGTGTTTAATGGCAAAAAAAAAAAAAAATCCAGTCCAATGGAAGAATCACTTCTCTCCGGCAATGTTGATATTGAAGAAGGCTGCTCTAGAGATTTGGTACGTCTGCTTCTGTCATTGTTGTTACTTTTTGCTAATAAAAAGTATTATTATATGTGCTCTATCAGCCTATCTCAAGTCAATTTCTGAATGATGCTAGTTTATGTTTGCAACCAATTTATCTTTTGTGGTTGAGATGCCACTTTGTTTTCAGTTACTTGGTAAAAAATGCAGTTTGATAAACTGCCCTATCAATTTGACCCTCGCTTGCATGTATTATTTTTGCTAGCACAAAAATGCTCCAAATTTGGGCACTTGTTAATTCTTTTTCTAGTATTCTGTATCCATCTAATATCATACTTGAACTGATTATTATATATACCGTTGCTCACATGATAGCCAAAGGGAATTGTTGGAAGCTTTTGGAGTCTTGCAACATTCAAGTCTATCGACTCTGTCTTGGAACATGGTATAGAAAAGCAACTTGACTTTGAAGATTTGCTTGAGCTACCGCTAGATATGGATCCTTCGTCATGCCATACTTTGCTATTAAACCATTGGGAATCTCAGCAAAGGAAAAACTTTTCTGATCCTTCGTTATTCAAAACAGTTTGTTCTGCATATGGATGGCCATACCTATGTCTAGGTTTTCTAAAGGTGATATATTGAGCTAATTTAATCAAAATCTTATTTATTCCTGCTCTCTTTCAATTAGTACATGATGTTAGATTTGTGGAAAGATGGTAGGTATAGTGAAAGGAAAACATGAGTGATTCTATATAAATGGTTTCCATGCCAGGGAGCTTGCCCTTTAGAAAACACGAAAATGCACACATTTAGTATACATTTAGTATGAGCATTCATTGAGTTTCATCTGTGGAATCTACATTGCAATTTGTGTGATGCTTTCCTGTCTTTGTTGGGCTGATTTGTTGAACGAATTTTCATGTAGTGTAGGAACACCTGATCCATTGTTAACATAGTAAAGTGCTGTTGGGATAATATTCCTATGATTGAAGCAAATTAAGGTGGTTGTTCACACTTTTGCTACCGTTATTTTGTTAATCATTGGTATATTTGATCAGCTTACATACCAACGTTTGGATAAAGTAGTATATGCTTTTACATGACCTTTCGTTCTTAGCATGTAGTCAAGTAAGTGAAACTCGCATTTTGTAGGTGGTTAATGACTGTCTTGGCTTTGCGAGTCCCTTGCTTCTCAATAAATTGATTCAATTTCTCCAGGAAGGTTTGTGTATTCAAGAATTTCTTGTTTTCAACATTATCTTGAAATTTATAGAAGAAAACAGAATGTTACTCATTTTATTGAGAAATGATTTTATACTCCGTCCCGGCACCGATAACATTGTAGATTCTATTTATTCTTATAAGGCCACTAGATTTGGGACACTTTCTTCACATTGAATTCCCATCTAATACGAAAAAGGAGAAAGAGAAGAAGTACTAAAAACAGCACGAGTATCTTTTATTATATTATTCATTCTATCTTTATACAACAAAAACATTTATAAGCATTTCAGACCCTCAAATCAACTTCACTATACAAATGTCTTTAACTACTTGAAGTTGATTACATTAACTGATTCATTGAAATTTTTACTTAAAGAGAAAACTCAAAAGTTCATTATTTTTTCTTTGAATTTTTCATAACAGGTTCAACAAGTTATGATGGCTATGTTCTTGCAGTATCCATGGGCCTTACATCTGTTTTGAAGTAACTTCCTCTTTCAAACTTCTACAATTTAATTGAAGCATGTGCTCTATCTCATAGTTGGATTGCATATTATATATGCTCAACACGTCCCCTCACGTGTGCGGGCCGACCGATTACTTATCGATAGGCTCCAAGCAACTCTTTTTTATGGGGTGATGCAGAGATTCGAACCCATGACCTTTGGCATGGGGTTGGCTCTGATACCAAACTGAAGCATGTGCTCCATCTCAACTAAAAGCTTAAGCTGATAGTTGGATTGCACATTTATGTTTATATATTATATGTTGAATTTGGAAGATGGAATGGCCTGGCGGGTGGAGAATAATACCACCCGCCAGTTAGGCGGAAGCAATATGAAGAATCAAGGACTAGGAAATATATATAAGACTGAAATTATATTAGTATTCTCTCTGTTTCTAATACAGAAACAGAGTACATATATATACACAAATACATAACTGTAAATAACTACTCATAACTTACACCTATTCATAAACATACACAACCCTATAGATAAACCTATCTATTTAGTTTTCAACACTCCCCCTCAAGCTGGAACATCTAGAAGTTCCAAGCTTGGATTAAACATACACTATACATTACAAATGAAGATTAAAAGCAACTAGAGAATAACAGTGCTAGATGGCTTCGGAGGGGCAATGCTATACACAATCCTTGGGAATGAAGGCACCAGGGGCGATTAACTCGAACACCCTCACAACAACATAAGCACTCCCTTGAGAAGCCGACGTCTGCGGTAGCTTACTCTAGAAGCCACTCCGGACTTTTCTCGGCACCAGGTAGCCCTTTTCCCCTTTGGATGGCTTCACTCCAGACCTTATCAAGTACCAGGTAGCCCTTTTCTAGGTCGCCCCCTCTGCTAGACCGACACCGGATGAGTGGACGGCTTCACTCTGGATAGCTTTCACTCTGGACTCTTCTCGGTTTCCTTTGAACCTTATCACGCAGCGGGTAGCCCTCTTCCAGGTAGCCCTTTCCCACCACACTCCAGCCTCTCAACAAGAGCACCAAAGTAATGACAAATACACCCAAAGAGTGAAGTATGAATACCGAGAGCACCACATATGATTGTTGTTTATCCCCCTTATAGGATAAGTGAATAACAAAAGAGACTTTCGGAAATAAACAAAAGGTACCAAACTTGAAAACCCTAGGGAATAAATATGGTATACCGAATACAGTTATACCAAAAAACCTCGGAAAGAAGTTGGCAACAAACCCAAAAAACCTTAAAACTTCACCAACATGTCCAAAGAAGGGCAAAACAACAATCTGTAAAATTTTCACCGGAAAAATACATCATATGCACAGAAGGAATGGAGGAGAGCCGACGAGCAGAACTGGAGAGTTTCGTCGGAAAAAGCGGCCGGAGACAGCCTCATGCGCCGACGCGTGCGATCGGAGTCCGACAATGGCGGTGGCGCGTGGCGGAGGAGATGGCGATGTCGCTTGCTGGGTTAGGCTCGCTGGAGACAGTAGAAGGGATGGGTGACACCAATTTGACCAAAGAACTCACCAAAAGCAAGTAATTTGAAAAATTAGGGTTTGCGTTACTGTTCATGCGATGAAAAACAATTTTGATGTTTTGGAATGCCCTAGGAAAGTAGGCTCTGATACCATGTTGAATTTGGAAGATGGAATGGCCTGGCGGGTGGAGAATAATACCACCCGCCAGTTAGGCGGAAGCAATATGAAGAATCAAAGGACTAGGAAATGTATATAAGACTGAAATTATATTAGTATTCTCTCTGTTTCTAATACAGAAACAGAGTACATATATATACACAAATACATAATTGTAAATAACTACTCATAACTTACACCTATTCATAAACATACACAACCCTATAGATAAACCTATCTATTTAGTTTTCAACATTATATATATGCTCAACATTTAACTCATTCTTTTTAAAAATTATGTTTTTTTGAACAGTATATTTAGATTCAATGACTTGCCCAAATATAGCATACTAGGTGCATAGTTTGCAACAGAACATTTGCTATCAACTAAGTTTTGTGGTTCTTAATGTACCTTACAAGTCTGCTTTTCTATTAGTGTGATACCGGTTCACTTGGTAAAGTGTAGAAAGAACTTTTGGGTGTTCACTTGAAGTCCTGAAAAGCGTGAGCTGTATCTGGAACTTCAATTGAAACCATATTAATGGGCTTGCTGAATTTCTAGCTGGAAGGTCTTATTTATTACCCTGTAAATTTGAGGAGAAAAAGAAGTTATATGTAAACTTTATTTGTTTCCCTTTAAACTGCATTACTTAAACTTTTTATTATTGAAATATACATTTTGATGCAGCATTCCAGTTTTGTCCTTAAACAATGCTAATATGTTGCAGATCTTTCCTTGATACACAGTACACTTTTCGTCTTTCCAAACTTAAGTTAAAGCTAAGATCCAGTATCATGACTCTCATTTATCGTAAGGTGAATCTTTTTTTTTTTTTTTTGATCAATTTTATATTATAGGAGAGATCTAGTTTATAGTTCTGTAATAGTTTTCTCATCTCAACTTTTTATGACTCAAATGTTTCCATATCTTAATTTTTACGTACAATAAGATTACTGTGCAATATACCAATAGCATAACCTTTTTATCTTTTCAGTGCCTCTGCACTAACTTAGCAGAAAGATCTAAATTCTCTGAAGGGGAAATTCAGACATTCATGTCGGTGGATGCTGATCGAACTGTTAACCTGTGCAACAGCTTCCATGACATGTGGAGGTTAAAATTCTCTAACTTTTACTTATAGTCTATAGAAATAAAGGATTTATCTGTCTTTTAATGATCAGAGAAATATAAAATCCAACACCTTCTAACTTCTTAACAGCATTTGCTTCCTTTATAATGATCCTTGTTATTTGCATCCATTGCCAGAACATTGTACAGGATAAAACTTTCCTGATATGGATATCCTGACCAGTCCATACCGGTATTTCATGAGGCTCTAAGTGCATTTGGGATTCTGTTTATTTAGTCTTGGGAAGTAATCTGTAATGTATTTCCAAGAAGGATAATCCGACTTCATTGATCAAGAATGTTGCTAGAAAGAAAGGATTTCGAAGAATGTGTTTCTCCTTTTCTGTGTGTTCTTCACTGCTACAACATAGATCTATATATACACAACAGGGGACAGTTCTACAGCCTCTTCACTTCCTATGTCTATTCATTTTTATGCCTGTCCATCTCCCATGACTATTCATTTCTAACACTCCCCCTCAAGCTGGAGCATAGATATTAATCATGCCCAGCTTGTTACAAATATATTCAACCCTGTCCCTGCTAAGCCCTTTGGTGAACAAATCAGCTAGTTGATCGCCACTGCGAACATGAGCCATAGAAATTAAGCCTTGTTGAATCTTTTCACGCACAAAATGACAATCTACTTCAATATGCTTGGTACGTTCATAGAACACTGGATTATTTGAAATGTGTATAGCTGCTTGATTATCACACCATAAACGTATGGGCTTCATCACTTCCATACCAACCTCCTTCAACATATTGTGTACCCAAGTTATCTCACAGATCACATGAGCCATCACCCTAAAGAACATGTTCTAAAGAGAAGGAATGGATAGTGACTTTTCCAATTCCTTTAGCTTTTCCCTTTGACCCATCACCAAAGGTAACAGATGGGAGAGAATCTGAGAAATCAATTTGGGAGAAAAAGGAGGGGTTACCAGATATGTGATCGGTGGCTCCAGAGTCTAAAACCCAAACTGAGTTCGATTGTGAAGCAAGAGCAGTATGGGAGATATCATGAGAAATGGATGTCTTGGCAGCCTTTAATTGCAAGAATTCTGCATACTCAGCTTTTGAGATAACTTGTGTATTTGAGTCCTCAGTATTTGAATCCCCAGACTGAACTATGTTAACATAGTTCGTTTTCCATGAAGTTTCCAGCAAGCTTCGCGAGTGTGCTCTTGTTTGTTGCAGAAATCACAAAAACGAGTAGAATTTCGTCCTCCACCTTGGCCACCTCGACTGCTTCCCCGACCTCTTCCTCTATTGTGACCTTGATGACTTTGAGTAGTAAGAGCAGAATGATCAATAATGGTTGCTGATGATGTATTTCCTTTATGAATAGAAGATACTTGAAGAAGTCTTTTGAACATTTCCTTGGTGTTTGGAACAGCTCCATCACCGAGTATACTGTTTCGAACTTGCTCAAATTCTGGTTCAAGCTTTGCAAGTGTAAGAACCACAAAGAACTTGTCGCGTTGAGTAAGTTGCTCTTTAGGTGATCCTCCAATAGGCATGAGTTTATTGAATTCAGCCATGAGTCCTTGGATTTTCCCCAGAAATTTTTCCATGGACATTTCTGACTTCTTTACGTTTAGTATCTCACTTACAATGAAGTAAAAGCGAGAGATGTCATTCGTATACAGAGATTGAGCTTGTTTCCACACAGAAAAACAGGTTTTGAAAGGTCTAAACATGGGGATTAAATCAGGAGCAAGGGACTGCCATAATAAACTGCATAGTTGGGCATCAACTCTCTCCCAAATATTCCTTTCATGCTGAATTTCTTCTGCTGTGGTAGTGAGGTGATCAACCACTCCTTGACCCATAAACCATAGTTCCACAGCTGATGCCCAATCTTCATAATTTTGGGACCCAATAAGTTTTTCACTAGTGATAGTTGAACTCCCAGAAAGATTTGGAACATAGACTTTAGGTTGAACAGGTTGAGTATTATGGACACTATTAATAATTTCTTCGCCTGCCATAGTGACCAGAGAATGTGAAAAATTCAGGGTAGGGTCGCAGCAAAGAGATAAGATGATCTGGAAATTTTGGCCGGAAAAAGTCGCTGGAGGTGACGTCACGCGCCGGCGCCAGGGCAGACAGGGTGGCGGCGCGTGGAGAGGTTTCTGATGGTCGGAAAAAGACAGCAAGGGTCACCGGAGCTTCCTTCAGAGATATGCTGCACCAGGTTGTCAATGTAGCTCAAAATGGAAGGGTTTTAACTTGTGATACAACAGTAATATTCCTATTACAGTATTACTTCCTTCTTCCATGGCTGCCATTCTCTCGTTCAACCCAGGAGATAATCGCAAACCCTAAGTGCAGAATATCAACAACCCAAAACTCCACAAAACATACCTGGGTAGAACCTAGTCCTCACGGCGAGCCCCCCCGGAGTAGTCGCCGTCGAAGAAGGTGGCCGGAAAATCACTCACACCCCGGCACGTGGCGTCGGAGCAGCTGCTTGGCGGCGGCGCGTGGAGGCTCCGATGGCGGCGCAGCTCGAGCTCCGGCGTCGCCTCCCCGTTCCGAGCACAGCCCACTACCTCACTCTCGCCGGCTCTGATACCATGTTGCTAGAAAGAAAGGATTTCAAAGAATGTGTTTCTCATTTTTCTGTGTGTTCTTAACTGCTACAACATAGATCTATATATACACAACAGGGGACAGTTCTACAGCCTCTTCACCTTCTATGTCTATTCATTTCTATGCCTGTCCATCTCCCATGACTATTCATTTCTAACTAAGAACAAATAAATATGATATAAAAAAAAAAAAAAAACTTGATATATGAACAAACCATGATTGTGTGAATTTGTAGTTATATTAATTTTGCTAGTTTTTTTTTTTTTTAATTTTTTTAATTTTTTTAATTTTTTTAATTTTTTAATCTTACTTCTAAACAACAATCATATTAATCATGCCATTATTCAGCTTGCCTTTGCAAATTGGAATTGCTCTCTACCTGCTCTACGAACAAGTCAAGTTTGCCTTTGTTGCTGGAATAGCAATAACCATTTTGCTAATACCAGGTATGAGAAATTTTTTGTTGTAGAGGAATATACTATGAATGATTTTCCAAGCTTGTAAACTTGTATTTCAATTATAGTAGAGAGTGAACAATATTTATTGCCATTTGAATATGGGTAATCTTGTTGAGGGCAATTGGTTCTGATGGATGTTACCACATGGTGAAAACAGATTCTACTGGATTGTGCTTCTATCCTGTGCTTATTTGTAGGACTTACTATTTTAGTGACGTAACAGTTGTTGCAAAAAAAAAAAAAAAAAAAAAGACAATTATTTGTTAGTAACACTGCTGAGCTCTTGGTCTAAGAAACAGTTTATTGCTGGAAGTTGAATAGCCTATCAGATTTCACTGCAGTTTTCTAAGGCTGACATGAAGGCCTATGATATTCTTAACCTTCTACTGCAATGCTTTCATTTACTTCCTCATAGCGTTCATGATCAATGACCCTATAAATTTGTTTAATCATTATAGGTTAAACATGAAGAGCATTTGTACTTATATCTGAAATTTTGTGCAGTGAATAAATGGATTGCAAATTTAATTGCTAGCGCTACCAAAAACATGATGGAGCAGAAGGATGAAAGGTAGCATAATCTTGTTAGGTTTTTCATTTTTTACATATAGCAATCTTGTTAGTTTTGCCCTTAGAAGATATTTCTCTATGCAAAATATAAGTCTGGCTGTGTAAGTTCTTCTATACATGATGCAAGGATTTACACAGAAAAACAAAATAGCTAGCAAATATGTAGTTGCTTGTTATCTTATTCTTTGCAGAGTATTAGGACATAACCCATAGATGTTATAGCAAATGCTATCTTGAATTTCATGCAATTTTCTGCGCAGAAAACTTTCTGGGATGATTAGACAAGTGAATTGTTTCATGCAATTTTCTGCGCACGACACATCAATTCCTGTGTCTTGTGGATTCCATCTAAAAGGATACAAATGTTGCAAGTTCCTTTACCTCAGCAGGAATATTTGACAATTACAAGCACTGGAAAACCATATGACTAATGTTGAATAATTTAATTTTTTTATCGGTGGATCACAGAGTGCTTCTATTTCAGTACATGGGCATGCCAAATAATTTGCAGAATGCCCTTTTTGCTTCTTAAACTGAACCCCAATCCAAGTGAAAAGCAGTGTTGACATGCATTGAAAATCAGATCGGTCATTTCAGATAACACTGTAAATGGTCCAACTTTCAGAATAGATTTTTAGGTAATTCAAAGATTAGTACTATTCTTTTAGTGAGAAAGAATTATAAGAAGTGGTATGACTAGGTTGAGGAATATGTATGGAGAGAGGAGGGAAGACTTTGGACAAGAAATATGTACTGCAGTGTTTTTATACTACCTAGATATCCTGATTTCTACATACTCTAAAATCATGGGCCTTGGCAGGATTAGGAGGACAGCTGAACTCTTGACAAATGTTCGCACTTTGAAGATGTTTGGATGGGAGTTTCTTTTTGCTTCTTGGCTGACAAAGACAAGATCTGTGGAAGTGGCTTACCTATCTGTAAGACAAATTTATTATTGCTTACAAGTTGCAATCTAGAGTGTCAGGCCACCAGGCAGTGCAAGTTAAATCTTACAGTTTGCTTAATTTCCAGACTAGGAAGTATCTGGATGCATGGTGTGTATTCTTTTGGGCAACAACGCCAACTCTTTTCTCTTTGTTCACATTTGGACTCTATACACTGATGGGTTATAAACTTGATGCAGCGACGGTATAGTCAATGTTCCATGAACACATTTCTTTTGGTCAAAGTTCTCTCCAATGCGACTTCCTCTCTAAAAATTTAGTATTAGATTTCAGGTTTTCACGTGCCTTGCATTGTTTAATAATTTGATCTCCCCACTCAATTCATTCCCTTGGGTCATCAATGGGCTTATTGATGTGAGTTATTTGTTTACCTAAATATCAGATTTTACATTCAGTATTGTCTTTTTCTTTTCTTAGTTTATTTATCATTTTATCCCAGGCCATAATATCTACTAGGAGATTAAGCAGATATCTATCTTGTTTTGAGCATGAACCAGAGAAGGAACGGACTGCCAACTCTTTGTTTCTACCAGACCCAAATAAGCAGTCTAGTTCCGAGGATGTTGCCATTTTTATCCACGATGCATCTTGCACATGGTCGAGCAGTGACGAGAAGCAGTTAGACTTGGTTTTGGATCATGTCACTCTTCACATTCCTAAAGGTTTACTGGTTGCAGTAGTTGGAGAGGTAAATATTCAGCCATATTATTACTATTATATGTTATACCAAAATCGTTTTCTTCTCTGAAGATTTGAAGAATCCTGAACAATCTTTCAGGAATTGCTATAGTATTCAATACCCATGCAGATATACGAAAACATGACTTATAACATTTTAACTGGAGGTGGTAACTTGAGGCTATTGAGTAGTTTCTGCTTTGCTTTAGGTTTCAAAAGTGATAGTATACAAGGTGATAACCATTCTAGATTACTAGTTTTAAGTTAAAAATCATTTTGACCCTGATGTTTGCAGAGGGAAAAATAAATTGGAATAGACCACTGAATAATTTTGATTGAAACTGTTGAGCATATAATATATAAACATAAAATGTGCAATCCAACTATCAGCTTAGACTTTTAGTTGAGATGAAGCACATGCTTCAATTTGGTATCAGAGCGAACCCCATGACCTCGCCAAAGGTCATGGGTTCGAATCTCCGCATCACCCGATAAAAAAAGACTACAGTCCACGTGTTAATTGAAACCTGTGAAAAGTAATCGGCCCGCAAACGTGAGAGGACGTATTGAGCATATAATATATAAACATAAAAAGCGCAATCCAACTACCAGCTTAGGCTTTTAGTTGAGATGGAGCACATGCTTCAATTGAAACAAATGTTGATGAATTTACAATTCAGTATTTGCATATGGTACCTGTTTCAAGGCAGTCATCCAAAAATCATAAAACACTTCTACTCAAAATTGTATTCTAATGTAAGATTCTTGTAGTTACTAGTGAGCAATAGGTATGACTGTCTATGGTATCTGTGTTCCATCCACTTGAGTATAGGATAAACATGAAATAGTTAACATTGTTGTAAACAATCTATATGGTTTCCTTGAATATATGATATCGTCAATCTGATTGTTCAATGAAAATGACCTTTCTTACTCATTTAGCCATCTCTTGACAATCATGTGTATGCAGGTTGGGTCAGGAAAATCATCCCTACTCAACTTGATTTTAGGGGAGATGAAATTGGTAAATGGCTCTATACATGTAAATGGTTCTACAGCCTATGTACCTCAGGTTGATAAACTTTTGTTAGTCCTTGATGTGTTTTCCTGGCAATCCATATTGCTTTCCTCTTATTCTTATTCTTTCATTACAGGTCCCTTGGATTCTCTCTGGAACTATCCGTGACAATATTTTGTTTGGGAGGGACTATGATCCAAGGAGGTAGAAATGTCTTTCATTTTCATAGCTTCAATACCATTTTTCCAATTTATTACCATTTATTAATGTTTGCCAAGATGTGTTTGTGTCCAAGAGCCTTCTCAAGTATGTTGGCTAATGTTTTGTGTGTGTGTGTGTGTGTGTGTGTGAAATACAGCTCCTAATAGAAGCTCTGTTGTTTCTTGTTAAGGAATATATATTTGATATATAGAATCTCTATATATTAGGCAGTTTAGGGTTTTAGGTAGGTAGGACATATGTAAACTTGTTTCCTATTCGTAGCTTTCTAGTACCTATTTATAGGGCTTTGTATTTTCTATTCTTATGAGAGTTTGATATAATATATGACAGCACATTAGAAACTCTCTCTCTTCACTTTCGTAACATGGTATCTGAGCCTTTACGATAAATTTTTTTTTTCCGCTCCGTTGTCGTCACGTTTTGACTAGCGCGTGAGCCTCACGTGCTGCCGGCACGTGAGGCTCCTCCAACGATTGAAAAACGTTTTGGTCAACTTGTTTCTGGGTCGCCTAAGTCTGTTTTTCTTGGTTCTGGACTTAGTTTGGACCATTGCCTTTTGTTCTACGGTCAGTTTGTCTCGTTTTGGTGCTGTCTTGTTTTGTGTTTTAGTACTGTCTCGTTTTGTGTTTTGGTGTTGTCTCTTTTTTTATGCTCGTTGATTGGAGCATGCTTCCCTTTTGTTAGTCAAGATACTTCCCTTTTGCTAGTAAAAAATTTGTGTCCTCCGGTTTGGAGTTTGTCTTCTTTACTTTGTGTGTCCAAGCTTGTTCGGTCCACTTTTGGTTCACCCGGAGTTGCGGTATTGGTGGATTCCAAGCTTCCTGTTCAGGGGATGGTCCAATCCCAAGCTTGTTCGGTCTACCACGTTGAGTTCACCCAACTGTCCGTAGGTATTGGTGGCGTTCACAGCTTTCGTTTCAGGGGGAGTATCCAATTTTAAGCTTGTTTGGTCACTTTGTGTTCACCCATTGTTCGTGGGATCCGTGGCGTTCGAAGCTTTCATTGGAGGGGGAGTATGAGTATCCAATCTCAAGCTTTCGTTTCAAAGGAGTGTCCTAAATGGACTTGAGTTATTTGTTATTTAGTTATTTTGGGTTATCACTCATTTGTGTAACAAGTTGGGCATTATTAAAATATATGCTCCAACTTGAGGGGGAGTGTTAAGGAATATATATTTGATATATAGAATCTCTATATATTAGGCAATTTAGGGTTTTAGGTAGGTAGGACATATGTAAACTTGTTTCCTATTCGTAGCTTTCTAGTACCTATTTATAGGGCTTTGTATTTTCTATTCTTATGAGAGTTTGATATAATATATGACAGCACATTAGAAACTCTCTCTCTTCACTTTCGTAACATTTCTCATGAGCAGATACTCAGAAGTATTACGGGTGTGTTCTTTGGATTTTGATATCTCAAGAATGGTAGGAGGTGACTCAGCTCGTGTTGGAGAGAAAGGGCTCAATTTATCAGGTGGACAGAGAGCTCGTCTTGCACTTGCAAGGTACACTGTCTCTTAATTTTCAATTGGTAGAGTACACTGTCTCTTGAATGTAATAAGTATACTTGCTGATCTAATTGAGAACCATCAGGGCTATATATCATGGTGCACATATATACATGCTTGATGATATCCTCAGTGCTGTTGATGCTCATGTCGCTTGCTCTATATTACAAACTGCAATTCTTGGCCCTGTGATGAAACAAAGGACACGCATTCTTTGTACACACAACCTTCAGGTTTTATGCCCACCATGACTTATTTTTCACTCTGTACTCTCATTGATAGCCGAACTTGACTATCACTTTTAAATTTCATGCTCCTGTTTAGTGGATTGAACTATGTTGCTTCATTACTTTTAAAATGAGAATTCAGAAGCACAATAATGCAAATCAACTCTAATCCATTTGGAACTCTGCTTGATTAGTACGGAGTGAAATTTAGTCAAAAACTATCTCAAAGAATGAGGTGTGTATCTTTTGGTGTTTGTTAAGAGTCCCACATTGAAAAAATAAGAGAGAACATATGGGTTTATAAGGCCATGGGTTAGACTAGCTAATTGATTGGATTCAATCTTTTAATGTGGTTTGGCCCATGTGCATGATATAGCTCAGTTTGGTCCACTTTGTGGACACCCAGTTGTTTGTGGACACCCAGTTGTAAAGAAGCTGACACTGCCTCACGTATTATTTTTATATTCACATATTTGAGTGTATATTGTGTAATGAAACTGTAGTTATATCATTAGTTGGTTGCAATGAAACTGCAGTGTATACAAAATGAAACTAAATATGTTATACAATCAAAGTTACTTTTTGCGGACGGCGCGGAACAGGTGTCATTTCTTTTCATTTAAAAAAACGGCACCATTTTGATGTCTGGACCAAAATGCATTGTGGACCGCGGTCCACAGTATAATCTGCCCATAAATGTTTATGAATTATTATTGGACAATTTTCATCATACACTGTTGTTTAAACTGTTATAGTTTCACAGGCAATAACTGCTGCTGACATTGTGGTCGTGATGGATAAAGGACATATTAAGTGGGTCGGAAATCCAGCTGATTTATCTTGTCCTTCCAGTGTTGCATTCTCAACTGTGGATGAACTGAGTGCATCTCCTACATCTCATACTGAAGAAAGAAGATCAAGCATGTCAGCAGAGCCCGGTCTGGAAGTTTCAGACTCTGATTCTATAAGCATTTCTGATGAAGCACAAGACATTATTGAAATAGAACAAAGGAAAGAGGGAAGAGTTGAACTTATGGTCTACAAGTGAGTTACTTTATATATTCTTGAATCCAATGTATGTTGTGATAACCATCAGTCTAGGCTTTGTTTGATGGGTTTGTTTTTATGTCCTCCAGAAAGTATGCTGCATTTTCTGGTTGGGTCATCACTTTTGTAACAGGTCTTTCTGCAATTATGATGCAAGCTACTCGTAATGGAAATGATCTGTGGCTATCATATTGGGTTGACTCAACTGGAAGCAACCAAAAAGCATATTCAACGACCTTTTATCTGGTGATTTTCTTACCAAGTATATTTCTTGATTAGATTCATGAACATTTTACAACAATGATATGAAATCACAATGGGAACTTGTACTACATATGAATTAACATTTTTGATTGCTTTCTCCATGTTCACTTTGCATAAAAAATGTTGGTAAAAGGAAAACGTTTTACATGGAGAAGTTGTGTAAATAAAAAATGTTGGTAAAAGGAAAATGTTTTACATGGAGAAGTTGCGTAAAAGCTGTTCCAACATTTAGTTCGATTATGAAATATTTTAAACTTGGTTATATAGGAATATCTTTGGGATGAAAAAAAAAAGAAAAAAAAAAAGAAGACTATTTTACATCTTTTGATCTGTAAAAGGTTTCAAGTGTACAAGTGTAAAAGTGAGGTTTACTCACTTTTCAGTTGAGTGAATGGCATATATGGTAAAACAATTTATGTGAAAAATATTTAATCCCTATTTTATGCAAAGTAAAGAGGACATTATGTATTGCCTAATTCTAAACATTTTCCCAATAAAATTTCTACTTCTGGAACCTGAGTTAATTCTTTAAGTCATTAATGGTTTTCTAGAAAAATTCCATTTAAATGATTTGGAAGTTCGGAAGAATGTTGATGTGAATGATGTTAGACACCATTATTGATATTACCAAATATGTAACGCCTTAGGAGGATACATTGAACAGGAAATATGATAGAACTGCTATTCTCTGAAGTACTTTACCCAATATCAAATACTATTGGCATTAATTCAAATCTGATGCAATATTTTGAAGACAATCCACTTTGCAGTCAATTGGAATTGAAGTCAATCAATTGATCAGACGTTAAATGATGCAGGTTATCCTCTGCGTGTTCTGTTTGGCAAATTCTTTGCTAACTTTAGTGAGGTCATTTTCGTTTGCGTATGGTGGCCTACGTGCTGCTGTTCGGGTGCATGATAAATTGTTAAAGAACCTTACTAGTGCACCAATTAGGTTCTTTGATCAGACACCGAGTGGAAGAATATTAAACAGGTAGCATGAGATTGTTCAAACCATGCACTTTCTAGTTCTTTTCCAAAATATATGCTGACTGAATAAAATAGACTGTCTTCAGATCTCTACACAATTGACGATTCCCTTCCATTCATTCTGAACATTCTTCTTGCCAATTTCATTGGCCTTCTGGGGATCGCTGTAGTTCTATCATATGTTCAGGTATAAAACTTCCTAGCAATAAAATGTTGAACTGTCTTTTATCTTTTATTCCCTCTTTTCTCTTTTCATATCTTTTGTCACATTGAGTGGTTCTGTTTGCTAACACATCATCCACAAAATGCTATAACTACCTGCAGATCGTGTTTCTGTTTCTGTTGCTGCCTTTTTGGTTCATTTACAGCAAATTGCAGGTAATTTTTTATAGCCTCAATGTACTTCTAGCTTTCTATCACCTCCTATGTATTTGTTATAAACTAAGATTGGGCTAGGGTCTTATAACTCATGGTCTTATAAACCCATATGTTCTCTTTTATTTTTATCAATGTGGGACTCTTAACAGTATTATGACATTGATTTTTAGGCAACCATTAGGCATAGAGAGATGTATGACACTCGCTCAAAATGGCAAGTATCAGTAGGCTATTACATTCTCTGCAATGTGTAATATCTTCTCTTTCGATAAGTACAATATGTAGAATATTTCAGTGCCATTCAATCAATACGGCAATACCTTTGCAAATAAATCTTTTTTAAATTACTAGTTATTCAATTTCTTCCTTCTGAGGATAGGACTAAGGTTAAATCTATATCTTGGTTTGATGATCCCGTTTCCTTCGTAGTCCAGGAAACGCCTATAATTGCCTGTTTTCTCTTTATTCACCATCTATGCCACTTTTTGTCTACCTCCCACCTTACAACTTCTCACCCCGGTCACCAATGATGATATATACTTTTCTAGTGCTGACCAATCAAGTGTTAATCAGAAATGAGCGATGTTTATGTGTTAGCCCTTTAATCATTGCAGAGGTCATAGAACAATTTAGTTGAGGCCTTCTACTAGAAATCTTTGGAAGTGAATACCGTAGAAATTTATATACCTGGTCCATAATAATTTATCAATTCAAGAAACCTTCAGACTAACTGAACATTTGCTTCTCCAGCTTTACTACAGGTCCACATCACGTGAATTGCGAAGGCTTGATAGTGTGTCCCGGTCACCAATTTATGCATCTTTCACTGAAACTATTGATGGATCATCAACTATTAGGGCGTTCAAGTCTACGGTAATGCTAAGCATTCATTTCATTGCAATCATAGATGAATAAGTTACTATTTTGCCAAGATGTGTTACAAATAAATCTTAGCTGCAAGAACGATTTTAACACTTACACACATTGTGAATCTTTTCTGTATAAAAGTTTGGCGATATGTAAGTGAGTTAATCAGATTCGTTTGTTTGCAGGACATTTTCTTGATCAAATTCTTTCAGCACCTGATGGTTTATCAGAGAACTTCTTACTCGGAGGTAATGGCAGGGCTGTGGCTCTCTCTGCGCCTTCAGGTACATCTCTTGCAGCAGAACACGTAGACCGATTTAACTTTAATTGGCATGATGAAGAGCCATACTCGTAAAAGTGGATAGTAATACATGCCTTAATCTTTCTTTTGCAATTTGATGTTCCCTAAACATGAATATCAGTAACAGTCAAAGTTTTTAGCTTTTGGCAGCATTTATCGTGTCGTTCATTGCTGTGATGGCTGTTCTTGGCTCTCATGGATATCTTCACATTAACTTAGGTACTCCAGGGCTGGTGAGTTATGCTTCTGGCTTTCTTTTAATTTGCTTTCCATCAGTTGCTTTACTTCAGTACAGAATGTCCTTAACTGTTCAGAAACGAACAGACCTCGTGGGGGAACCTTGTAATGATGCCTGGTATGTTTTCAGGTAGGTTTGGCACTTTCGTATGCAGCCCCGATTGTGTCCAATTTGGGAAGCTTCTTATCAAGTTTCACCGAAACAGAAAAAGAGATGGTTTCTGTTGAAAGAGTTCTTCAGGTAATTTTTAATAAATCAAAGTGTTGACATTAAATAAACAGAAAGACACCAAATTGATTGATACATGCTCCGCTCCATCTTTCATTCTAGTACATGGATATACCTCAAGAAGAACTCATCGAAGACCAGAGATTTGATCAACACTGGCCATTTCAAGGAGACGTAAATTTCCAGAATGTGACTCTGAGATACATGCCATCATTGCCTCCCGCTTTGCGTGGTGTTTCTTTTACCATCTCAGGAGGAACACAGGTCAGTTAGTTCATCCCAATAAGAAATATTACTAGCCTGTTCTGGCTGGCTGGCAAAGCATGTTTAAGTTTTATTTAGTGGAACGCCAGATCAATTGATAGACATAAATGTCTTGAATAGGTTGGAATAATTGGAAGAACAGGAGCTGGAAAGTCGAGCATTTTGAATGCCTTATTCTGCCTCTACCCAATATGTGGAGGGCATATTATAGTCGATGGCATAGACACAGCTCACATTTCTCTCAGGGATCTCCGCGAAAGGCTTTCTGTTGTCCCCCAGGTTCCCTTCTTGTTTGAAGGGTCACTCAGGTAACACAAGGTCATTCTAAACCATTGTATGATCTTATAATCTGAAACTGGACCAAGGTCACTCAAAGACTCAATTCAATCTATTAATTAATCTTAACCCATGGCCTTATAAATTCATATGTTCTCTCTTGTTTTTTTTCAATGTGGGACTCGTAACAATATGATATCTACATTTTCCTCAGGAGCAACCTAGATCCACTGGATGTGAGTGAAGATATGCAGATCTGGGAGGCTCTGGATAAATGCCATTTGAAGGAGGAAGTGGAGGCTGCTGGAGGGTTGGACATGAATGTTAAAGGCTCTGGTGCACCATTTTCTGTCGGGCAACGTCAGCTACTCTGCCTTGCCCGTGCTCTCCTCAAATCCTCTAAGGTAAAAAAATGCTCTTATAATCTAAAGATTGGGCCAAGGTCTTAAACCACATTAAAAATTGAATCCAATTAATTAACCAATCTAACATATGGCCTTATAAACTTTCAATTACTGACAGATGAATATGCAATGTTGTTAGGTACTGTGTCTGGATGAGTGCACTGCAAGTGTAGACACTCAAACAGCTTCAAAACTGCAAAAGGTGATCATGGATGAATGCCAAGGGACGACGGTGATCACAATTGCTCATCGCATTTCTACTGTTGTGAACATGGACAACATACTAATCCTAGATCAAGGCATCCTGGTAATCAAAGTTTGTTAGATCTAAATAGTCTAACTATAATAAACCATAGTATACGAGAAACCTGACCTCGTATGATAGCGGAAGCGTAGCCGTAGACCGTTAGACTTCAGACTTTGACTCAGAACCCTAGATGGTTTATTGGTGTCTACTGAGCAGTCTGAGTACCGTAGCTGAATGTGCTAACATCCAACCTGTATCCCATCAATCCAGGATTATATTAGGCACAGAGTCTGGTTGACTAACAACTTCTAGTTATTCAGTCCAACCAGACCACTTAATAAGCTTAGTCCACTTGCAACACTTAATTAAGGCCCTAATATATAATATATAATATATAATATATAATATATATTATTAGGGAAAATCTTACATTCTCCCACTTGGTGCAAGTACTAGCACAACCTTCATCAAAGAACAAAACACACGAATCATAGTGATATGTCCTCTATTTAATCAGAGTAGTATCCATTATGGTTACATGCATTTTAATTCTCCAACTTAGGTCCTTAATGAACAAACCCTATGTTTATTCTCGGTACCTTAAGGGATGTTTCTCAAAATACATTATGTGGACAACTGAAGGAGAAAACGCATTCAAATTGTACAAAAAAGTATACTGTATGATCACTAAAACTTTATAAGCATGCCTGAAGTAGAGATCTCTTAATGTTAGCATAATGCTAACTATATTCTATGACTTCTTTATAAGTTAACTTTAAGTTCTATCTCTAACAGCTAAGTGCTTGGAGTTGACACGTCTGTCACTCCCACTCATAAAAAATAGCCAAAAGATAGTCAAGTCACAGAAATATTCCAATAACTTAGACAATAAACCAAAGGTCTAAGTCCATAAATTTGGAATCTTAAACATACACCATAACTTCCCAAATAACTTCAATGTTCATTTTAAATGAACTGAACATAATGAGTCTTACTTATATGTCCCACAAAATTGTTTTGAGCCCTATAAACCAAAATGGTTCAGGATCAATTTTGAAGAAACTAAAGACTCCATTAATCACTAAAGAATTTATTAAATGACAGTGCACCACAAGTTAAATGCTTTTGTTCTAATAAATTTCTTAATATTGTTACAACATTTTCATAAATATGTTGTACGACCAAATGTTCAATAATTTGAATTTATGAATTTATATGAACAAATACAAGATTGATACTTGTGGAATCTTTTAGACTTATTGTTTAACATACAATCCAATTTGAAATGTATGAATGCAATAATTAAATCCAAAATCTTTAGTGGAGTAATTTAATGATCTTTTTCTAAATGATCACTCCCACTGATTAAAACATTCTTCAGCGAAATTAATAAAATGAACTTAATAACATACATACTCATAATTGATTTATTGACCAACTAACAAATGAAGACATAATTCCCCACCATTACTTGGACATACTAAATAATCAATTTTGGTTCCAATTAAAGTCCAACTAAATAATGAAGATATAATTCCCCACCATAGTTGGACATACTAAAAAATAAAACAAAATACATCTTCCAAAACCAAGTTAGAATTCGGCTCAAAAGATACATTTTAGTATTATTGGAATCCAAAAGAGGTATGTCAAATCACGTAACTTACTACAGTTAGTCCGAAGAACCGAGCAAGATTCGTGGATTAATTAATAGAAGTTACTAAATTTTGAGAAGTGACTGAAAACATGTCTTGCCAATGCAAACCATGAAACTTAGAATTATAATTGAACTGAATTTATAACTTTAAAAAATTGTGATAAAATTATTATCTAATGGGTTGAGGGATTTATTAACATAAAACTTGCCTGTGGGCTAAAGTTTTAATTCTATTAAATCCAATTAAGAAACCCTTATGATAATATTTTTCACAATTACTAAAGAACCAGAAGAATCTAGAGACATAAAACTTGCCTGTGGGCTAAAGTTTTACTCAATTAGATCCAACTGAAAAATGTATTTATGATGAAACCATTATCAAATGAGTTGAAGAATCAAATGACATAAAACTTGCCTGTTGGCTAAAGTTTTAGTCAATAAGATTCATTGCTGTCATTATGATAAAAAACTTAAGAGATCATGTTCCTTTTTATTAATCCCTGTGGGCAAATTAAGAAATATGATCTAAAGTTTACATCATAAAATTAAACTTCATGATAGAATTGGAAATTATTTACAAATAACCATAAAGTAAATAAATTGATTTATTTCTATCATCACTGATAAAACTACTAAACTACATTCTGATACATAATTGCCTGTGGGCTAAATTATGACCGTAGTCTAGTATTTCATCCTGATTAATTATACAATTATAGCGAAATTGCCTGTGGGATAAATTTCATCATATTACATACAATTAATCACAAATGATATGTCCAAAACTTTATGTGATCAAAATAAACCGCTTAATATATAATTTTAACAGATTAAGGATGCTATGGCTACTCCCAAACCAAATTAAAATTATAAGATCACTAGACAATTATCAAATTCTTGCCTAAACTTTATGTGATTAAAACTTAATAATCTTAGGTAGCTGAATATGCTGTAGCTATTCCTTAATTAACCAAGGTTGAAAACTTAAGAAACTTCAGTAAATTAAAGATGCTTTGACTATTCTTTAATGAACCGAAATTAAATCACATTGGCACGGAATACTTAAAATTTTGACAAACAGATTATACCAAATTGTGATGGGAAAATCTAAATATACTCCAAGGAAAGGTGGTTAGAGACTGAGTCTCACTGAAAAACAATTCCTTAAATAGAGTATCAATTTAAGGAGACTAGTGGCTCAAAATGTTCTTAACTCATATCCATTAAAACTAGTATGTCTCCCCGATTCATATATACTTAATGTATAACTGTTTGGGGGTATGAACCTAAAACTGTAGGGTTCACCTATGATTAAAGCTTAAATGGTGAACTAAAAATAGCGGACTAAACGTGCTTAAATTCAGGCACTACCGCAACTAAAGTTTATGCATATGTCCAAATTAAATAGGAACTAATATAATTCCATCCCAAAGTATGCATTGCTAAAGGCATAATAAAATTGCATAATTTAAAAAAAAATAATAATATCATGCGATGGACAAATATTCATAAAATTAAACATTAAACTCATATATTCCAAATAAATTGCATAACTTAAAGCAATTTGCAATATGAGATTTTAAAGTATAAACTTAATATTCAAACACCAATGAGTCCAAACCAAAAGAGACCCAACATTTTGAATAATAATGTACTGGATATATACTTTAAAAATTTTTAAACTGTAAGCCATGACAAAATGTTTTAATGCATAAAGATCAAATTTATGAGAAATAACTGAATTTACAAATTCAAGCAATATCAAACCAAAAGGATATGCTATAATTTGTAAATCAAAATCTCACACACCCTAATTGCATAATTAAACTTAATATTATGCACTTAATGTGATCGAATGCTAAAACAATCTAAGGAGTATGGACCAACTAAAGAATATGAATTTACACCAAATATTCATTTATTCATACTTAACCAAATATGAGCAATCATAATTCAAAGAACTAAATGAATTATGGAATTAATGACAATAGTCAATTGCCTAGCAAACATGTTTTTCCAAAATTACTAAATTGATTCAAAATCACTCTCCATAACCCAATTAACAATATTATTATTATTATTAATGGAAAAATTACAAACAATCAAAATAGCAATAAATAGCCATAATAATATTATAACATTGTGTAGGAGACTAAATATGAAAAAACAATTGTTAAAACCGCTAACATTTATAAAAGTTTTCGGATAAAATTTTGAAAACTTAATAAAATTTGAAGTCCGACAAACCTTAATGTCAAGAAAAATATTTTCTTAACTGGAATATTGTCACATAAATTTATTTGTAAACAGTTCAAGATGCATAACTGAATACCATAGCAACATTAATGTTATCATTAATTAATTATTAATAGCAATAAATAACATTATAATCACTATTAACATTAAATATTAACGACAAACTAAAGTATGGTAATGCACCTTTTAATGTTTTCATTTTCTAAAGATAAAATATATGACTAGTCCAAATTAGCGGTTAACTGTAACTGTAGCACTAATTATCAATAATAACCATAAAAGATAATTAATAGTTAACCTTAATGATGCAAACCGCATCTCCCCATTGCGCTAACAACGATGATGATCCACAAGAGAAGAAAAACTCCAGAATTCTCCCATCCTCATTGTCGGTGTCAGTAGCCTCGATGCAGCGTCCAATGGTACATTTAAAAATTTATTGGTAGGACTTAATTACCAACATTAATAGTCATGAAAAATTATGTGGTAATCATGCTAATGTACCAAATATAGCAGATTACCATGAAATGATAATTATTATGTGGTAAATTGAGATTAGTATTTGGCATCCCTTAATTACAGTTTTGCCTGTATTGTAATGAATTGACATTATTAATTACTGTTATTAAGTTTAGGGATTAATCTCATGACTATTAGGGAGACTGAAGTGAAGGAATAACCAAATTACCATTATATAGACAATATACCAACTATATTGTGTTTGCCCTAAAATTAAAGACTTAATATTATCAAAACCCTGAAAAACTATTGATAGATTAAAAATTTAATCAACTTAAACAATAGTTATAGTTCTTAATTGCCAAAATAACAATTAAATCCTTAAATTCTTAATGCCTCTAAACAGGCCGAGACAATAATTATAGCACTTAATCACTCAAATTATGCTCATAAACCTCAATGACCCAAGTGAATTATAACATGAATGATAAATGGTCTAGTACTGAAGTAGACCTAAAACTTAATATTATTACCAACGATGAATACCAAAATATGGTAGTTAGTAATAATTAAAACTTAATAAACATGTTATAAGGAGCTATAATTATTATTAAAATATCAATCAAAATGGTGAGATCCATACTTTAATGACCCAAGATAAGTCCCGAATAGCTTGTTCAAAATAGGTTGTAAAGTCCCAGAGACACATAAAACTAAAATGAGCTCAAAATTAAGGAGAAACTAAAACAAGCTACCTTAATAGGCCATAATGCTTCAAATTGACCTAAGGATCCAAAATTGAGTGATATTTTAATAATGAATTTATGAGTTAATAATATGCTAAATCCAACTTTAATGCATGCTATTATAGATGTATAATTATAATAATAATTTATGAATATACGTAGCATGGTTGGATTTGCATATTAATATATTATTATTAACTCATAAATTCTTAATAAATTGTAACACTTGAGGTAATTTAAAATAAACCTCAAAATTAAATTAAAATTCAAATAGCAAATTCAATACTTAATATTTGCTCAAAATTGAAAGATAATTTAATAATAAATTAATGAGGAATTAAATTGAACAATTAAGTAAGAAGAAGTCTAAATATGATGATAGAAAACATTAAAGCAAGCCCAATAACTAAAGTAGGCCCAAGATTTTTTTAAAAATATTATTGGACTGGTCTGCCCCAATGGGCCTGACCTGGCCTAACCTTCATAATCCATCATCATCTTCTTCCTCTTTATGCCTGGGAGCCTGAACAACCCTAGCTGCCATGAGAGACTGAAGCGACGACGGAGAACAGCAACATTCCGGAGCCGGTGCCGCCGCCGCCTGTAGGAGGGAGCAACGATGGCCGAAGCTAGCATCGCCTGAAGGGAGGGGGACAGTAGCGGCGAGCCGGTAACCCAGCCAACCTCCACCGTCTCTCCATGTCACGACACCAACGCCGACGTCGTCTCTCTTGGTTGCAACGTCAGAACGCCGCCGTCGTTTTATGCTGAAATCATGAACTGATGGTGACTGCCTGAAAAATGGTGCACGGTGGCGTCCAAAACCAGCTCCGAGGTCGCCGGCGAGGTGCGCTCGGAACCAGTGCCTCGGCCTCCATTTTCCGGCCAAGATACGGCGTCCGAATGGAGAATAGCGTAGATATTAAATTATTTAACTTCCTCCGTCACTCCAGCCATCTCCGCCGGCTTTGACAACAATCAGTGTCCCAAAATTAACGGCAAACCAATTACCTCGCTTGCAAATAAATTATGGCAGTAGGCATTCTTAATAGGCTTTCTTAATTGTGCTTAATGCTCGTAATTAAAGTTCAGGCATCCAAATCAATTACAAATAATTCTTTCAAACAAAGAATTAAAATGAATGTAATTGAAAACTAAAACATATACAATACTTGATGTATATGAAATTAATATTGTTTTAGGCAAAACAATCAACCAGGCAGAGATTATAAAGACTCTGATACCAAATGTTAGATTTAAATAGTCTAACTATAATAAACCATAGTATACGAGAAACCTGACCTCGTATGATAGCAGAAGCGTAGCCGTGTTGATCTCCAGCCATAGTTGATGTTCCTGTTGTGTTGCCTCTTAACGGTAGACCATTAGCCATGTTTTGCCTCATACCTGACTCAGAACCCTAGATGGTGTATTGGTGTCTACTGAGCAATCTGAGTACCGTAACTGAATGTGCTAACATCCAACATCCTGTATCCCATCAATTCAGAATTATATTAGGCACAGAAGTACCGTAACTGAATGTGCTAACATCCAACATCATGTATCCCATCAATTTAGGATTATATTAGGCACAGAGTCGACTAACAACTTCTAATTATTCAGTCCAACCAGACCACTTAATAAGTCTAGTCCACTTGCATCACTTAATTAAGACCCTAATATATAATATATAATATATATTATTAGGGAAAATCTTACAAAGTTTACTATCTTGACATAAACTAAAACGTACTTGAGATTATAAAAGATGCAAATGAGGATTTCTTATTGTGATCTGTTAACATCTTTTCCATTTTTACCAGGTGGAACAAGGAAATCCGCATCATCTTCTTGAAGATGAATCATCCTTGTTTTCAAGCTTTGCAAAAGCTTCAAATATGTAGCTATGCTGTATTGGAATGGCTATGAATCAACAATTATATGTTTCTCTCTTTTAAGTTCAGCTGTTTCTTGACTCTGCTCATTGCTGTAAGTTTTTAGCACTCCACTGAATTATTCGTAGTGTAAATGTGGTTTCTCGCCATTTTCTCTATTTGAAGACCACATTTTTTTCTTCCATTTTTCTTTCTTCATTCTGCCGACAACAATGTTTCTCCTTCTTCCTATTAGGGGAAGGGCAATATATGTCACGTTTTGAAAATTGAGGGACAATATTTACATCACTAATAATTCAAGAGTGACATTAATAATTGACATATTTGTGAGGGACATAAATTATAATTTTTCCCTTAATAAATAAGGGAATAAAAATTACAATTGAAAAAGAAATTACAAAAAAAAAAGGGTTTATATCTACTATTTATCTACTTCTACTATCTATCTACTATACTAATAAAAATTAATAAAGTTAGGTCTAGCTAGTTCATAAGCTGGAAACTGCGTTGTGGATAAGACCACTACCTTATAAGCATTTTGACGTAAGGTGCAAGTATTAATCGGCACCGCCCCCAAGATTTACACAACAATTCTCCGTCAACCGAACACCTAGTGTGAGCAAAAATAGACTTGCATTAAATAGAGATGCAGAAAAAATGAAGTTGAGTAATGTCAGCACCATAATCAGGTTATGACGAAGGAAGACCTGGAGGATCGTAGAAATCGCACAACGGCAACTAATTCCACAACCCCTTGCATTTCTTTCACCATACAGTTGATTTTAAAGCATGAAGTGCGCATAGAGTTGAAAGAGATTATTGAGGTCTTTACATGAAGAGAGGAGGTAGTAGTAATCAGAAGGGATTTGGGGTATTGTCTAGGTTGGTTTTAGTAGTGAATTAAAGATTCTGCATTGTCCTTTAAAAAAAAAAGTTTCTGCACTGTCGGAATCCATTTATGATGCTCCTCATCATCTTGGATAGGTAATCTAGTATTAGAGAGAAAAGGCAGTATTGATTTTGCCACCAACTTTAGCTTGGCAGTGGGAGTTTGACAAAATACGGAGCGGACTCGAGCAACTTTGCTATGCATTTCCGAATGTAACTTTTTCTATATTAATATATAATTTCTCATAGTTTCTAGAATTTTTTAAAGATCTGTAATAACATTAGTCATATGTAGAATCATAAAATTTCTAGAACTATTTAAAATTTATGGGGCTATATAAAATTTTAGAGAAGATTCTAGATAAGGATTTATAATCATAAAATTAAGTAGATCTTCACCGTTAGTTTAGGAGGTAGAATGTGTATAAATACTTAAATATCCTTCATAACTGTTCATTTCTAACGAAATAAATTAATGTTTTTTTTAGCTAGATCAATTTAAAGCTCTTTCGAAGTGCACGGATTGCCTAATAAAAAACCAAGCTAAAAAGGTTTATATCTACTATTTATCTACTTCTACTATCTATCTACTATACTAATAAAAATTAATAAAGTTAGGTCTAGCTAGTTCATAAGCTGGAAACTGCGTTGTGGATAAGACCACTACCTTATAAGCATTTTGACGTAAGGTGCAAGTATTAATCGGCACCGCCCCCAAGATTTACACAACAATTCTCCGTCAACCGAACACCTAGTGTGAGCAAAAAATAGACTTGCATTAAATAGAGATGCAGAAAAAATGAAGTTGAGTAATGTCAGCACCATAATCAGGTTATGACGAAGGAAGACCTGGAGGATCGTAGAAATCGCACAACGGCAACTAATTCCACAACCCCTTGCATTCTTTCACCATACAGTTGATTTTAAAGCATGAAGTGCGCATAGAGTTGAAAGAGATTATTGAGGTCTTTACATGAAGAGAGAGGTAGTAGTAATCAGAAGGATTTGGGTATTGTCTAGGTTTTTTAGTAGTGAATTAAAGATTCTGCATTGTCCTTTAAAAAAAAAAGTTTCTGCACTGTCGGAATCCATTTATGATGCTCCTCATCATCTTGGATAGGTAATCTAGTATTAGAGAGAAAAGGCAGTATTGATTTTGCCACCAACTTTAGCTTGGCAGTGGGAGTTTGACAAAATACGGAGCGGACTCGAGCAACTTTGCTATGCATTTCCGAATGTAACTTTTTCTATATTAATATATAATTTCTTAGTTTCTAGAATTTTTAAAGATCTGTAATAACATTAGTCATATGTAGAATCATAAAATTTCTAGAACTATTTAAAATTTATGGGGCTATATAAAATTTTAGAGAAGATTCTAGATAAGGATTTATAATCATAAAATTAAGTAGATCTTCACCGTTAGTTTAGGAGTAGAATGTGTATAAATACTTAAATATCCTTCATAACTGTTCATTTCTAACGAAATAAATTAATGTTTTTTTTAGCTAGATCAATTTAAAGCTCTTTCGAAGTGCACGGATTGCCTAATAAAAAACCAAGCTAAAAAATCCAGTGCAAAAAACTTAACTAAGAAAAAAAGTACAGCCATAAACTAAACATAAAATTTTTAGGCATATAATCTTCTTTGACAATACTATACCAAAATCATGCCTCGTTAAAACCTCACTAGAAAAAAAACCCAGTACAAAAAACTAGTTGAGAAAAAGAGTACATGATTATGCCAAAATCATGCCTCGTTAAAAACCCACTAGAAAAACCAGTAAGAAAAACTAGTTGAGCAAAAAAGTACATGATATGTGTATTCATGTGTTATACTAGCCGCCTTATTAAAAAAAACTTTAATTAAGAATATAATATCAAAAACTTAATTAGAGGAAAAAAGTACAGCCCTTGGCCTTCAAGACCTAATCTTATTGATTTAAGTATAATCTTAAAAATTGATTAAGTATAATCTTTTGAATTGATTCAAGTCTAAGATTCAAATGAATGACACTCTCCTGGAAGATCAGATAACAATCTTCAAAGTCTACACTTTTTAATATAAAGACAACATTGTTTCAAAATAAGTGTGGAAAAAATGTATAGTACATATTATCAATATTGACTAAGATAATATAAACAAGTTCATTATCAATTCTTTATTGAGCACATAATGGTACATATTATTCCTTCTTCATGAGGAAAGAGTATATTATGGCACATAATAAACACATATTCCTTCTTCAAGAGGAAAAATACTCCGTCAATTATTAATGGTTTCTGGTCATATAAAGACCATTGTAATTTAATACCATACATGCTACGATTTCCATTTTCTCATTTCGGAAATTATAAGTCCATCAAGGGTTTCTCAAAATAAATATGAATTGCATATCTAAATTTATTATTCTACCAATAATATTATGTAGCGAAACTTAATGCCATTTACTGTAGGAGAGTATATTTGATTAGAATCAAAGGGTCTCTGCTTGAACCCATAAGCTACAAACTCGCTTTATAATATCCATTTTAGCGAGTCGAGCTATGCCTTAATTGCTCCTTTATATGTTAAATAGTCATGACACTTCCGGTGCCTAACTCTGGATCCAGATTATTGTATAACTAGCAATTTGTAAAGACAATTGTGTTGTCCACAACTGTAATATTTTATCATAATTTTCCCATAGAATTCATGGCAATTTCTAAATCAAGCAAATTGTTGGTCATTTCCCAAAGGTATTTAGACTTGGTTATTCCGCATCCCTAGCATTGTGTTTGTTTGGTGCATCTATAATTTTACTAGGGTTTTTCGTCATCTGGACGAATGTCTGCAAGACATAAATTCAAGATATTTCAAGAGTAACAATGTTTATTTACTAAATCTAGTATTATGATTCTTGCCTTTTACACCGATAGATCTCATGCACTACTAGTGTCAAGGACTATCGGTAGATATATTTGGTCCAAGATGGGAAGGTACATGAGACCTAGTCACTCTTTATATAGTTGACAAATTATTTGCTAGTGTCGCAAATAAATTATTTTCTAAACATTCAGTTTAGTCTAACTAGTACCCAGATTTCTTTTCTTAACTAATGAAGTCTTTTCATTTCATAAAACTTTTCGGCATTTCATTAAATTATCGGCCTCATTTCTCCCCCTAATGCCGTGAAGTATATCAGAGCCATAATACTTGTTATAACCAAGAGCCATAATAATTGTTTATAACCAAGAGCCAAAAGGACTTGGATGTGGATCAAACTAAAGTTTAGCAACGCAGGTGCAACCTAACAATGAAAATCATATTGAGAATTCATGCTATTGTCTCACTTATAAGTTGTGTGATAAATCTCAATAGCTATGGCCTATAGCAAATAATTAATTGCCACAAGAGAAAAAAAAATTCTCTTATATGAGCCCTAATCAAGAGATTATATGCTAAATGTTGTTGTTATAGAATATTCTATGAGATTAAGTATCCGGCCTACACATTAGGAAACTAAAGATTCGGGAGAAACACATCACAGCCATCTGAAAATTGAAATTACCAGTATGTGAACTCAACAGTTGTTTCTCTAACAGAGAGGAGCTCCAAAACCTCTGCTTTGGCAGCTAGAGATTGGGGATAAAACAGATGTATGCAATCACCATCAAAATAGCACTTAGGGGCCCATTCATTCCTATTATTGGAGTAAAAAACGACACTCTTTCAAGTAATCTCTCATGTTATTCCATAGTTTTCATACATGCATCAAAACAACACAAGATACACAAGATAAACTGAAACTGGCATAAACTTTTAGAGTTTTTGACATGGATTGCAGAATTTTCTGGGAAAAATTGGTAACACATTTTGACACAAAATTTACCAGATAAGAAGTATGTTACAACCATAGTGTTGTTACAATTATTATTATTATTATTATTATTATTATTATTATTATTATTATTATTATTATTATTATTGTTGTTGTTGTTGTTGTTGTTGTTGTAACACCCCCTAAAACCATGCTATTTAAAGCCTTAAAACATGTAGATAACTTAAACCAACACACTAAACACATCGGAAGACTGAAAGAGAAGATATATATAAAACAAGGAAACGGGGTGCTATGCCACGCTCACCCAAGGGTGAAGGCACAGGCTAAATCTGCATTGTTTAAAATCTACAACCATCCAACAGAGTACTACG